CGTGACCTGTTCCGCGTGGGTAAGGCACAGTCGTTTGTCACAAGTACTTTTCTTTCACATCACCTGGTTTGAAGTCAAGAAGGGTTATCAGGCGTCCTATGTTGTGAAATCGTCGTTGCAGGGACCGTTTGGTATGGTGTTTGGCGAAACATGATTGTAACCAGGACAAAGGTCATAGAGAAAGATCCACTGGTCGGATGAGACCAGGTTCTTTTTGCATGTTTAAAAAGGCGTATTTGCGTCTGGCAGCAAATAATACGATATACACCCCCAAGAACATTCGCCCTACAGCCTTAGCTACAATCGTTTAGTCCACCCTGCAGCTTCATACTTAAATAAAAGCGAGAAAAAAGATCCATGAATATGATGACATTCGAGTTCATTGTACGATTCCGACTACATCTTAAGTCACTCGCTATCAAATAGTGATCATACCAGGTGTTCGCGAAAAGGTGATCGTATACATCCTGTTCCATTGGTGACACCCACCACAAATACATGCTGGGCAAGTGAATTGTGCACCTGCAAAAACCCATGAGAACATAGCATGATGCAAGTCAAAATAGGGAATGTACCAATTGTATTAACAGTATGCACAATGTCATTTCCACCAACGTTATGACTTGCAATATTGTGATTATTAATCGTGATTGATGTTCTTATTCACTGACAAAGGAAATGCACCTGTTCTGGTTTCCATGCCTGATTTGGTAAGGTTGAAGAATCAAATGTTCTGAAACAGTTGAACTTGGTTTTTATCTGCTATTGCAAACATTCAAGCAAATCCTTTGAGTTTTTGATAATCCACATGGTGTATTAATCAGGTCTCAAATCCTTTCTGTGAGAAAGTCCTTCCTTGGTTGTATAAAGGATTGTGGTTAATCTTTGAGACAGGGATTTGATGGTACATTTTCAGGACCCAGCAATAAATATTTCACTGTACGGATTTTGATGAAACGTTGGAATCCAGTACAAAAGAGAAAATGGACAGATCTTCGGGTTTTGGTCTCACGACAATAGTGTAAAGTACTGTTGCTTGGTTTTAGGAGTTTTCTTTCTCAGTTAAAATACTGGCGTAGTTAGTGACATAATATGATATGTCGCATATACCAAGTTCTTTGATCTAATAATTAATGTAGTGAGGACCCCATAGAATTATTATATTATCTGAGGCCTTATCAGCGAGAAAAACTACAAACTTTGCTTGTGAGCTGCTTTAAATGGATGTTTTCAAACTCTGTTTCCTCCTTTTCAGTTTTGAATTCCACGAATGACAACACAACGAATTAACAGAGCCCCGATGTTAAGCTCTCAACCTGAAGGGATTACATACCACTACTACTGTATTGGTACATCACTATGTACCAACTGATACATTGATAATTACATCCCTCGTAATGACTTGTCATGAACGTTTGACTAAAGTATCAAAAGGTAAACAGTAAAGACACCAGGTGTTTGCCTGTCCTATCTTAATACCATGGTGAGCGAAGATCAAGGTCACGGAGAGTATCAGTGTCCAGAAGCCAAATCCATTTCCACTTGTGCCCAGGAAAAAGAGTTCTGTGTACTTTCATCGAGGGGGGAGAGTCCGATCAAGGGTGTGACAAGTAAAGTATTTGTTATAATGAACGTGAGGTGAGGTGAGGTGAAATGAGGTTTAACGTCGCGTCCAAGATTATTGCACTTATATAGCGACGTGCATGTACGTGTGTGTGCTTGTGGCTGCTTGTACCAGCTCGGACTGGTGCCGATTTATAGTGCTAGCTCACTGAGATACCATGGCGCAGTTAAACATGAATACCCCACTCAGACACAGTATACTGACTCCGAGCCGACCAGTCCTTGTTTTATCCCTTAATGCCGAGCGCCATACAGGGTAACAACAAGTACCATCTTTTAACGTCTTTTGGTATGACGCGGCCGGGGATCGAACCCCGAACCTTCCGTTCTCCGGGCGGACGCTCTACCACTAGACCACGGAGGCGGTCGAAACGCAAGTAGTTTTATAGACAGGAAAGTTGTCGCCAAATACTTTCCTAAACTGTAGGCTCTCGTGAAAGCAACAGAAATTAATAGCAGCCTCTTTAGAAGACGACGTTCTAATGCCAGCTCTGGTCTCCCCAGGCTCGGCCTTACAAAATGTTTTCCCCAAGGGGACCATCGGGCCAAAAAATCCCCTGTGCCCAAAGCCAGTTTTAAGAGTTGTCTAAAAAAAGGATAGACTGATCAGAGTATATGACTAGTGCGCCGTCCCCAAAGCGATCTTAGCGCTAAGACGAGCATAAATCCCATTCTTTGATATTGAATTACGGCGTCTATTTCATCGCATAGTTTATATTTTGAGGAAAGCTGTAACATGTTAAAGATTGGCGACTGCTCATCCATTTCCACTTTTCAATGACTGTTACTTTATATTTATACTTTGCGTGCCTGGCTATGAATAGATGTTTGAAGATAAACCTTGATTTTGTGTTAAGAAGTTGCCCGAAGAGAAGAAGTGCACACAGATCTATATATCTTTGAAGAGATATAAGACCCACCATATCTCGAGCAATCACATCAGGTGTTTGTTTGGGAACCCTTGCTATAGCAATACCATATATTGTATCAATGATCTTCCTGGTTATTGTGGGGGCACGGGCGGCCCAGTCGTCTAAGGCGCCTCGGTTCGCTGTGCAAACCTATGATTGTGGGTTCGAATCCCGGTTCGCCAAGATTATGTTTCTAGGTTTGTCAGCACCATACCCGTGCTCGTGGGTTTCACCGAAGTGGTAAACGTCTGAGACCTGCATCATTTCGGGCTTTCCTCCCACATTAAGCTGACACGCCGTGATAGAACTGGAATACTGTTAAAAGCGGCGTAAAACCCAACTCACTAACTCACTCCTGAGAATTGTAGATGTTCACTGGTTAGCCCGCCCGGTCCCTTGACAGGTTTAAGGGCCTTAACTTTATATGGGACTTCATTTTAGGAAAAAGGATTTTTTTTTACTTTTTGCTTCTAGTACCTAGATCATTTTCTTAATATGTGATAATTTCTCGCACATTACCCCAAACTGTTCATTGACAACCTCGTGTATACACATTAATTTGGACGAAAAAACCCAAAGAAAACAGGTCTTATGTATTTTTTCCTCTACAATGTTAGTGCTGTATCAGAATCATCCTCTGGTGCGCATGGCTTTTGCCGATTCATTACTTCAGACTGGTACTATGTGCAGGCACAGATCCTTGAATAACATAAGATACACATCTGATGTATATTTCGGCAATACACTTTTAGACTGTCCGCCTCGTCTCACTCTGTCGATTAGCGTCCCACTTGGTACATCACGTTTATCATTTTTAGGGATATGATACAATGAGAGGCCTACGCCATATAGCTGGAATGTCCATGACACACATACCGGACCCAGTGCAACATGTTTTCTTTAGCGATGATTGACTCCGGCTTCACTACTCTCACGTACCTTCACTCTCAAAACATATTTAAACCCATTGCGCCGTGCCCTTATTAATGTTGTTTGAGCAGTATTTCATTTTGTGTTTGGTTCTTGGATGTAAATAAATGTCTTAATGTGTACAGCCGGTGTACGATGTATTCAATCTACACATACAGTGAGTTAGAAATAACACGTCGACCTATGAGTGAAAATTTCTGTATTGTAAACGGCAGCAACCAACATATAAGTACCCCCACTTAAGGATTGAAGTTGCATTTGTTAACGTTCATCAGCTGATGAAGACAGTGCCTCACGTGAGCAAATTCCATGATGCGCAAATTTCTACACTGTACCCTCACCAGTCTAGCGGCACTAGAACATTTGCATGTATTTAACAACACCGGCACACTTTCTACACTGTACCCTTACCAATCTAGCGGCACTAGAACACTTGCATGTATTTAACAACACCGGCACACTTTCTACAGGTAAAATTAGTATGGACACTCAGCAACCGAGTATCTCCTGTTAGGACTTCATGGACGCAGGATATGTCTGCTGCATTGCCGAAGGATTCATGTACATGTATAGCCATTGTTTTGTATTACTTCGACGTTTCGAACTGTATTAAGCTATATTCTGCTGGAATAATATACATGTTACAGCTTTAGGTATGATAAATTGAATCACATCAATGCTCACTCTCCGTTCCTTAATTGCTTCCTCATGGATGGTGCTTCCTTGACACTTGACACTTGCACTTGCAGGAATGAGTGACCGTCAGGGACAGTATCCCCTTGGCCTAGATCGACGTTCTATTATGGTTTACTGTTTACTGGTTGTTAAGGTCCTGTAGTTTTGAATACGGCCGTGATATAGCAAGACTGGGTGAACCCTTATGCGCTCATAGTTTAAAACAACTGTAATATTGTTTAACATAAATTCGGCGTCGTGACTGATAACCTGATTGTGTGTCAGTATGCCCCCAAATCTTCGACCTTTGCTCATGCTATTAACCACTGATTTGCCTGTCCATTCTGTATTATTTATTGGCCTCCCTGGTAAAGGTTGCATTAATATTGCCAACTGCCGTAGCGCCGCATTCAATTAACCCTGTGCATGTGCCAATACTCATAAAATGTATGTAAGAAAGTTTTCCCGGGTATTATTTGAAAATAATCATCGATAAACGTTTCCAGTTATCAGTTCCAAGTGAATGAATGGCGTAAGCCCCGAGTCTTTAGCTATGTTCTTCATAGCTTCGTGACTACACGACATTAACATCTCTGAAATTACAAGTGACGAGAAAATAATTCTGCCAGCTGTTTAACTGTTACCCCTCCGTGAGGAGTCCACCACAGGACAGGATCCAAGCAACCTATACTTGTCACAGGAGGTGTTTCACTGAATCGGCTGGTGAAGTTCGCTGATGAATTGGTTAAGTGCCTGTCATATCGCAGTTCATTATATCAATCACTGGTTCGTCTGATTCAGACTCCAGTATTTACAGACTGACGTCATGTAGGTGGTATACTGCTACACAACAAACACATATTACGATCTTAGTCTTTATGTAAGCAAAATATTAATAACATATAAAAGTATAAAGATACAGTGCTGTAGGGATTAATGGAAGAGAACATATAGTTTGTAGAATTTGTAAACATTATTAAACATGTATCTATGTTCATTTATCATGTCGTGAAACCAAGAAAGTGTATGAACTTGTAACACACCCCAGGCCATGTACTTTAGGCCTTTAGCCTCATCAGTACCATGAATGAAGCCAGATTGATTTAATTTTCATCTTTGTAAGATCAAATCATTTTCAAATTAAAGTACTGATAGAAGTTAAGATCAAAATATTTACATCGTGAAATATGGCACTTGATGTCTGTTCGTGCTTAGAATAGTTTTACAAACTAAAGGACTGCAACGGATACATTATCATAATTTCATAAACAATGGACTAAAACAAATCACTCATTTTTACAAAATCCCCGAGCAAAGTATTCTCATAATTTGGTTGACACAGATTCTGTATTCAACTCTTTAACAGAGCTCACTTTGCTGCTCGCATCATCTTTCTTGGTGGCAAAACATCCCCTGCAGATTGCGCCTATTATGCCTAATAGTAGAAGTACTCCCACAACAGAAACTCCAGCAATTAGCCCAACAACCGAGACAGTTGAATCTGTAAAAATTATCAGACGCCCACGTCAAACACAAGCGTTACTAGTAATAATGGAATAATTATTTAAACTTTGAAAATGTTTCAGAAAGTAAGTTTACGTAATATGTAGTGAGTGAGTTGGGTTTAACGCCGCTTTTAACAGTATTCCAGTTATATCGCGGTGTGTCAGCTTAATGTGGGAGGATAGCCCGAAGTGATGCAGGTCTCAGACGTTTACCACTTCGGTGAAACCCACGAGCACGGGTATGGTGCTGACAAACGTAGAAACATAATTGGGGCGAACCGGGATTCGAACCCACAATCATAGGTTTCTGGCGTGCAGGGACGCAACTCTGCACAGCGAATCGCGGCGCCTTAGACGACTGGGCCACCCGTGCCCCCACGTAATATGTAGAATATATAGGACAGGATACTGATGGTTTGACAAATTAAGGTTACTGAGGAAGTTACTAGTTTGTATTATCCTGATTGAAAACAGTCATGTCATATACCCTAAAATAAAATGCATTTTTACAAATATAAGACTGTGAAAAGGAATTCAAAACTGAAAATATCAGCTCAGGATACTGCCAACATAATAAGAGCTTTTTTTAATCCTGAACGGATCTAGTTATGGACTGTTATGTTTTAGGCTGGTTCGTGGCTCGTGTAATTTTGTAAATAAACATTTGATTATTTGAACATACCAATTCCTTTGTCCTGGGCCGTGTACTTGATAGAGAACCCACTATCGACTACACGGGAATTCGACTTGAATTTCAGGAACATCACAGTGCCTGAACTAGTTTTGTTTGGTTCAGTTCCTCCACACCAGCGTCCAAGTGAGGGAGCCTTGGAGTCCGAGCCTACAGAAACAGAATAATTCAACAATGTTCCGTCTAAATGAACTTATATATTACGAATTGGTAACGATATTATAAGTGTAAAATGAATTGCCCTCTTCCTGAACAAAAGCATTTATCCGTTCTGATATGATTTTCACATGACAGAATGATTGTACATGTACTCATTATGAATCCTAACACAAATATATCAATGGATGAGAGTCCAGTGTCGGCTTTAACACAAATATAACAATGGATGAGAGTCCAATGCCGGCTTTAACACAAATATAACAATGGATGAGAGTCCAGTGTCGGCTTTAACACAAATATATCAACGGATGAGAGGCCAGTGTCGGCTTTAACACAAATATATCAATGGATGAGAGTCCAGTGTCGGCTTTAACACAAATATATCAATGGATGAGAGTCCAATGCCGGCTTTAACAAATATATATCAATGGATGAGAGTCCAGTGTCGGCTTTAACACAAATATATCAATGGATGAGAGTCTAGTCTTGACTTTAACACAAATATATCAATGGATGAGAGTCCAATGCCGGCTTTAACAAATATATATCAATGGATGAGAGTCCAGTGTCGGCTTTAACACAAATAAAGCAATGGATGAGAGTCCAATGTCGGCTTTAACACAAATATAACAATGGATGAGAGTCCAGTACGGCTTTAACACAAATATAACAATGGATGAGAGTCCAGTGTCGGCTTTAACACAAATATATCAATGGATGAGAGTCCAATGTCGGCTTTAACACAAATATAACAATGGATGAGAGTCCAGTGTCGGCTTTAACACAAATATATCAACGGATGAGAGGCCAGTGTCGGCTTTAACACAAATATATCAATGGATGAGAGTCCAGTGTCGGCTTTAACACAAATATATCAATAGATGGGAGTCCAATGACGGCTTCCAAATACACATTCACCTCACCTAGCTCCACCCCCTGACACTTACATGTCGAAACAAACTACCACCATACACCCCTCCTTACTTGTCTAACGTGAACCACCACAGCGTGACCTGACCATTAAAGACCAAACCCCAACCCATTACTTTTCCTTTATAGTTTACGACAATCAAGAACACACACTACATGACATCTGTGTAACTGAAACCACGTCCACTCAGGTTGAGAGCTACGTTGTCCGCATCTTGAACAACGCTTTGTTGTATGTTTTCGGATGCGTGTGCCGTGGTCGTCATGCCTGATGGCAAAACAGTAGTATTTCCTTAAAGGGCAACTATAAGGTATTGACATATGGATGGGTTCGTTTCTTCGCGGATTCAAAGTCTGCTTATTATGTTTCCCTTTATGACAAGTTGGAACAGTTCGACTTTAGATCCGTCACCTGGTTCTGGCACCTGGTCGCGGTTGCAAATGACACTCGAACAATTCAGCGATTGGTTTAAATGCATGAGGACACGTACGTGTCCGCCATAGCCGTTTTTTGCCAGTGGAGTGATTCACAATTGCTGTAAAGTCTAGATATCGAACACCTCAAAGGTAACGTTCTGCCACCAAGTAAAATATTGTTCATACAACCGATGGATAATTAGGATATTCCAGACCTACTGCAAGAATTAACTAGTGCACTATTTTCTTAACTGTGTTGACGACGAGAAGCCAAAGACTGTATAACTTACAACAGGCTCTACGGATGATTAACAGACTTTGGGAGAATGTGTATTAGATGACCATTAGGAACTGGTTTCAACATGTTGACATTATTCTGTATAGAACCCAAAATATCCAATGTTTTGTATTCACGGGTTGTATCTTTACATACAAACAATGCTGTTTCCACACATCATAAGGATAATACAGTTTTATCATCATTAGTGTGTACATATAGCAATTCAGGCATTATATCAGTGAATACTCACACAAGCGGGTGTGAATGTTTAATCGTATAATTACCATCAAACGCTTCCACGTAGTCATTTTGACAGCCAACAGAACTCTCCAGATGCGAGAAGATAACTTTGATCTTGACCTGATAGTATTTGCCCGCGTCAATCTTCCACGAGGGCTCGATATTACTAAAATAAAGAATACGCTCATATTTTGTTATGCACAAAGCTACGAATTTAGAAAGCTCATTGTCAATGTGTCTCGAATTTACGTATGTATTGACTGGATGTATGTTGTCTCTTATATGTTCGCTACCTTATTCTTGTATTGAAAATATTTTTGAAACTATGATTTTCAAACATAAGGGGAATTGTATATGTACACTCAGATATTTCTGATGTACTAATTATCAGTTTTGCTTCATCAATAATTGTACATAGCTTGATGTATATCCTCAATGATACCTTGTGTGGATTGATACCTGCTTGGATAGCTTACGTACAGCACTTTATTTTGATACGTACATCTCCAGTATGGATATAGTAGTTACTTTGCTTTTCGTGGCTAAGTCTGTCTGTATTCCCCGGCGGTCCAGGAGAGATTGTTCTCTCTGAGGTCCGCGAGCTATATATACAAAATCTTTCTAGATTTTGTGTCTTTATACACACCCCGCCCATTATTTCAGTTATTTCACGGTGTATCAGCTTAATTTGGTAGGAAAAGCCGAATTGATGTAGGACTGAGACTTTTACCAGTTTCAGGGAACCTACGAGCATGGGTATGGTGCTGACAGACCCAAGATCATAGGTTTCTGGTGTGCCGAAGGGACGCAATTCTGCAGTGCTTTAGACAACCCTCCGAAACCCCACCAACACACACATAAACACACACACACACACACACACACACACACACACACACACACACACACACACACACACACATGTACACAGCTGTACACATCTTTCGCCACCTTACACCACCCTTATTTATAAAAAAAAGAATTTAGGTCAATGAACTATCTTAGAAACTTTTAGAAATACATACCTTTCTTAAAATAAAATGTCTTCATATTACTTTCTAGTGGCAGATTTCACTGGCTGATGTATATCATTTGTATCGTGGCATCTTCATCTACGTTTACAGCTCATAATTTTCATTTTGGTACATACAATAGTTTTAAGCTTTATATAACAATAGTTAAATACATACCTTGGGTAATAAAATGGATAATTAGGGGATGTAATATATTGTGCAGAAAAGTAAGCTGAAAGATCCGTCGTCCGTGAAGCTGAAAAATGAAAAAAAATGTATTTGTGAGTTCAATGTAGCAGCATGATGATTATCCAATTTCCTTTCAACTATCGTCGTGCGCAACAAATTGGATATTTGTGCGTCAAAGTGATATGTTTTTCCATGCTTTGAATTTTTTAGACCTACCTTTCTAACAGCATAAACATATTTATATTATACATGTTGTAATACAAGGGATAGTCACCACCTGCATTTTCTGCCAGGATCAGGTGATATAGGGTTCCAATCATCATACCCAGGTCGTGAATTGCCCCTAAGTTGTTAACGTTTACTGCCTGCTGCACTCCCATAATAACTACTCAAAATACTGTCCGAAGTGCCAAGCCCTATCTTACACACTCACTCACAGTATTGCAAGTTGACGTACCACTAAAGTCACCCGCCTTGAGAATGATTTGTATTCCTCTATATTTGTTAATAATGCCGGAGTGGAACCTTGCGGTGATGATATGTCCGGAACTGATGTAGTCAGTGCTGTATTGACCACACCATCTCCCGGCGGCTGATGGACCAGTCTCGTCATAATTGCCTTTAGGTACATAAATAGGTACATAAATAGGTACATACGTAGGTACATATACATAGGTATGAATGTCGTCGGATTATATGTTTTCGGACATCTTACGTTTTACGTTGATGTTTCAACCTCTTTTCTGTAACATGGCGTCGTGTTGACGAAGATTCTATCAGCAATGTCAGGCAGGTGACGTGCATGTACGAGTGAGATACCACTTGCAAATAATCATGTCTTTTGCGCAACGTGTACATACTCACTTTCAGCATAAGGCTGTTTAAGAAACTACATGGAAATATTGCACCAATTGTAATCTCTTTACGTGATGCACAATGCTGTGTTGACATGTTTTTAATTCCATGATCACAAGTACGCACAACATGTATACACAATAATATTGGCGATATGTGTAAGAAACTTTTCATGGCATCTTTCACATATCGGTTATTATGATATGAACGCTGGCCTGTTGGTCACTCCGGGAACAAAGAGTACATCAACGTAGTAGCGAGATGAAGTACATATAACACGCCGATGTTAGGATTAAAATATAATAAATCAACCCTTAAAATCGTAATGTTTGTGTTGTGAGGCCGCACTCAGTAATCTTCCAGCTACATGACGGTGGCATGTAAGTAATCGAGTCTGAACCGGGCAAATCAGTGACGTGATGTTATATTATGAACAACAATCTACGCTGTCGGGATACGAAGAGACGCAATCAACAAAGTGACCGTGTCTGACGACCAGATAGATACACTAAGTCGCATCGTATGACAAGCGTAGGTAGCTGGGGACCAATCACCACCCTGGATTCCTACAGAGCTACAGTTCTTTGGCAAGGATACGCCTACATGAGGGAGACATTTTCAAATATAAACCTTACCATCGTAAATCTCCACATAATCAGCGTCGCATGTCTTTGGTGGAGACATTGGCCTCATAAATGGATTAAAATTTCTCACTTTGACTTGGATGTTTGTGTTGGCAGGGGCATATATAGTCCAGTGGCAATCTTGGGAACTGAAAATTTAGAAATTTACTATCAGAACAGCATCATGCGCGTTGTCTGACCATCATGTTTTTTACAATACAGTAAAGTACGGTTATAACGAACTCAAAGGGACTACTAATTTTAGTTCGTTATAACCGTAGTTCGTTATAAGCATATATACAGCATAACTACAGCAACTAGTCGGGACCAAAAAGTAAGTTCGTTATATCCGTAAGTTCGTTATAACCGTAGTTTACTGTATTATCCTTCTGTTGTTGTTATTTAACCTTCTCATGTTCATGTCTCTTATATATGTACATTGTTGTTATTGTTAATCCTTCACCTACTGTATATAATGTTGTACCATGCTCATATTTCAGTCTTGCTTGACAACAATTTCAGGGTCGATATCCAAACGTCACTATGACAGTACAATAAGGAGTTGTTATCCATAAATTGTGTCTGAGTTGTGATCTGTGATGTGTATGTGCGTTGTGATATGCATATGTATACTGATACCTGCAGCATATAACGTTAGAATCGTCCCGAGCATTAAATCTCTGGCAGAGTTCCTTGTACCAAAAACACAAAAATCCAGAAAAAAATCTACACAGTATACTCCGGACAGTGAGTGAGTGAGTGAGTGAGTATGGTTTTACGCCGCTTTTAGCAATATTCCAGCAATATCACGGCGGGGGACACCAGAAATGGGCTTCACACATTGTACCCATGTCGGGAATCGAACCCGGGTCTTTGGCGTGACGAGCGAACGCTTTAACCACTAGGCTACCCGACCGCCCATACTCCGGACAGAGCCGGTGTTGCTTCTCCTTTGTTGACAATAACAACCTCCGTCATTTATTCAAATATGGACCAAAATACCGTGAGCAACCTCCTACCAACTGGGATCACAACTTTAAAATCATTATGGATGCTGTCGAAGAATATGCTAAAACATCGGCCAAAAGAGAAGAGGAATCTGTTGAATGTCTTTCAGAGTGGGTTAAGTCAGTGCGTGATGTTGTCATTGGTAGAATGCACAAACTTTAAAAAAGGGAAACGGAATTGGAAAAAACCCATAAATGCCCATTCCTCTTTTGTACTGGATTCCAAAGATCCATAAGAATCCGTACAAAGAGAGATATATTGCTGGGTCCTGCAAATGTGCCACCAAATCCCTGTCTCAAAGACTAACCATAATCCTTAAAACAATCATGAAAGGACTTTCTTTATATTCACAGAAAGTATTTGAGACAAGTGGAATTAATAATATGTGGATTCTCAAAAGCTCAAAGGATTTGCGTGACTTTTTGTAATATCAGAACAGAACCAAGTTTCATTCTGATAAAACATTTGATTATTCAACTTTGTACACCACTATCCCAAATGACAAACTTCAGGAAAAACGTCTTTCCTTGATCCATGGAGTCTTGTTAAACAACGTGGTGACACAGTTATGTATCTATATTCAGATGTTCAGGACAATTTGTGAAAAATGAAAGCAAATGCCATCTGAAGTTTACTAAGAACACAATAAGTGAAATGCTGGACTTACTTTTTGATAACATATACGTAAAATGTGGGGGTAAGACATTTAGGCAAGAATTAGGCATCCCCATGGGCACCAATTGTGCTCCCCTTCGTGCGGATCTCTTCGTTATGCATATGAAACGGAATTTCTGTTCGGATTCGCAAAGTCAAAACAAGGTTATTTGGCCAACAAGTTTAACTTAAGCTTCAGGTATATCGGTGATCTGATATCGTTCAATAAAATAGTCAATTACCATCGACTGATGCACCCTCCTGAACTAGAAATAAGGGAGACCAATGAGACCGCCTCATTTGTTTCATGTTTAGATCTATGCATAAGTGACAAAACACGAACCACAAGACTGTATGACAAGAGCGATGATGTCAACTTTCCAATTAGTCCACTTTTCCTACAAGTCCAGCAATATTCCAGCAGCTCCGGCCTTTGGTGTATACATTACACAACTTTTGTGATACCACCTTGCATGCTCTTTCTACCAAGATATCAAAGAGCGTCATACGACTCTTGCTCAGAAGTTGTTTGAGTAAGGTTACAACATTCAAGGCCTCAGCAAAGCTTTCAACACATTTCCAAATTTGACGCATCAGTGACAAAAATTATATTCGAAGCATATCCTTATGTTGAACTGTACCATATGTTCCCGGTTTTTTTTTCAGGTAAACACTTGACTTGCCTTTGCATGTGTTTGTGACGGGTGCCACCGATAGAGCCGGATACAGTCACCTTCTGTAGAACAACAAATACTTCTGGATTCCAAAACCACAACCTTCCAATACTCATCCCGTTTCATAGCTCTGTACTAGTCTATCATGATTCCAAGCAAATATAATGCTGTACATATCCTAAATTGCTACCCCATCAACGCATGTCAATAAAGTACAATAACAGCAATATTTTGAGACCACCCCCAACTCGGTGACATTTGCACCTGCGAGAATGCACGGGACGGTGTGAGGTCATCACCTCGGGGCAGGTGTTAGGTAATTACCTCAGGTTACAGGCCATTTCATACATCCATGACAACACACGAATATTTTCAAAGTTGATCATCATTTTACCTGTAAAAGTGCATTTTAAGGGTAATCACAATGTCAGTTAGGACAGGCTATATTAGGTCAATTCGCGTTATTTCGATATATGCTCTTTTTATAGTCCTATGACTCGTATTTATTAAATGAAGCCAGAAAAGCAGTTTTCGAGCATTTCCGACAGCACTTTACCCAAATGTTGCAAGAATCGGCTGATCTGTACTTAAGCAGCAGACAAAGTCGTAATTCTCCCAAAGAATTGAGAATGTGAGGACGTTTCAGCCCTTACCCGATACGGTCATAGGGATTGCGGAAAATACTGACAAAACTGTCAGTCAAAACTGAATCACTTTGAGAATCAGTTGAACTATTTTAAACATCCATGGGGACTTCTTGGTACGGTTGTGTGTCTCAGTAAGGATGAAAGTTTGCGTTCTTTAGGGATGGAGGATATGAACTAAGAACCTTCTTTCCGTAAATGAAAAACTCACTAATTCCCTGAAGTGCCACTTGAAATAAAGGCTTCAGTCCACGTAAAACTACCTCTCAATCACAGTGACACCTCCCAAGAACAGAGACATGATATGGTCCTCTTATTGCTCCATATGCAACACACAATCAGCTGCAGCCCTTTATGTTGTGGTTGGACAATGTTACTTTATTACGCATATAATCAGTTATTATCAGAACAACTTTTTCCACATTCTGCCAACCGACACATGTGACCGAGTTGAACAAATTAATGGGTGTTTTATATTCGGAAAACACCAAATAGGTGCACTCCCACAAACGCAGTTACAGTGTATATTGGGAGCGGTTTTGCGTGATATGTTTCATTGTTTAGACAAGTGGAGGACATTTATAGATTTGATGCATCAGTGACTAAAATGCTTTCCGATGTATTGCCCTATTTTTAATTATAATTAAGTTACAGTGTCTGTTGAGGTGAACAACTGATTTGTCTTTGCGTGTGTTTGTAACGGGTGGCTACGGTGGGGCACATATTCGCGAACACCTGGTATCATAACTATTTGATAGCGATTCATGAACACAATGCATATTAGTATAACACTTTATACTTCCTTACTTTTGATACGGCCCTGTCAAGGTTCTGCTCCAATCCTTCGTAATATTGACTGTCCCTCCACATCTATATGTCTCTGAAAGGAATTTATAATTGTACAATTTCCATTGCCTATATCTGTGACTTTAAATATTAACTCACTCACTCACTCATTGCCTATATCCAGTACAGAGAACAACACGTACATGTACGTACCTCATGTGATAAGACTTATCAGTGTGTGGGTATGACTAATATGGTAAATAATTATCGATTTAGATATATGCAATGGTACTAATCAAGTTATTAACATCATTACTTGTTATAAGTATTGAAAGTTTCAATGTCTTCCATGCATTTCTACATGCAAGTTATGTTTCATTTCAGAAAAAATAGACACATTATTACCATTAGTTGAAAAATATATGAGTCTGAAGCCTTTCAGACGGCTTGCGTAAATTGTCTGAAATTGAACTGTCATAGATGATCCAGTACTCTGCAGAGTAGGTCTTGAATCGCCGCACCAGGTGAAAATCGTGTCGTTAAAGATAGAAGGTCCTGGAAAAATCATGGCAGTTGCCTGAGAATATTTATTGTTCGACTAGGTCATAAGGAAAAGCTGACAATATTACAGTAAATGTTTTAAATAATTAAATCAGCATTGTGATGATAATCGAACGAGGCAGGTTGTAATATGTTTGGCGAAAACCGACTCTTTTGAAGATATGCATTTTGACAAACAGGTATGTGACAAGAAAGATAGATGATCTGGCAGCCGCTCCCATGTCCTGCCTGATTTTTAGCATTTTCTCTTTTTCCATTTTCTCAATGTTTTCATAAAAACTAATAGTATTCATTTGGCTATTTTTTATAATTCAATAGTATATTTTATTAGGAAGAAGGTTAAGGAAATAAATCATTGTTCTTCAAAGTACTATTTAGGCTTTTGTCTGAAGGTCAAACGATGAGTGCAGGTACCTACCATTGTAAAATTCGACGCTATACTGACAACGGACGTCGACGTAATTAAAAGTCGGATCGTCCAAGTCAATGACGACGATGCGCACCAACATGCTAGGGTTAGACGCCGACATTGTCCAAATACAATTGTCACGGCTGAAACAAGGAATGAGTAATTGAGTCACAGCGTTGCAGCTTCAGGTGGGAGATCATCCAAAAGTGACGCAGCTTAAAGACACAACGCTGCGCAGCGAACTGCAGTGGCTTAGACGACGAAGCCGTCCATGCCTCCAGGACAATGAACAATTACTTCAAAGTAAGGGGTACTTTAGTCACTCCACAATATATATTGTTTTGACTAAACTTTTAATATGTGTAGCGAAATGCCAATCGTGCTAATTACAGGTCATGTACAACATCAAAAGCTATTCGATTTACATATTTATGTTCGGAGCATTGCACAATTTGCAGCAAAACTGTCGTGTGGAAGACACACGAATTGTGAAAAGAAAAATGATCGGAAAATTGACTTACTACAGAGAAATCACTGGATACCCAGGGGAATGGAGGAATTTTGGATTTGTCGTTGCATTCAGATATTGTGGCCCACACTTTTCTGATTGGTGAGGTATCACTGAAACATTGGTGTATTTCACTTTTTGTGATTTGAGGATATTTAATCTGGCTTTGACACGATTATATCATAACATTTATTACTTTCCACGAGGCCGCTTTCGGGGTCAAGTGGTAGAGCGTCAGCCAGTAGAGCGGAAGGTCCGGGGTTTGTTCCCCGGCCGCGTCATACCAAAAGACGTTAGACTTTTTGGTACCCTGTCATGCGCTCGGGGCTCAAACAAGGACTGGTCAGATCGGAATCAGAATACTGAGTGTGTATAAGTGGGGTATTCATGTTAAACTGCAGCATAGTATCTCAGTGGGCTGGCACTATAAAATCGACATCAGTCCGGACTAGTACAAGCACTGCACACAAACACACACACGTGCATGGACATCGCTATATAAGTGGAATAATATTGGGCGACGTTAAACCCCATTTCACCTCACCCTACCACGAAAATTGCATTCAGACATATTAGTTTAAACGTCTCATTTCACAAAACACGTTTGTACGTACCTTTCTGTGAATCATGAGACACACGGAGTCGGAATCCCTTCCCGTGGGTAACATTGTTGGATTTGAATAGGAGTTTCATTTGGAAACCGTTTGAATAGTAGGGACCAACTGGGGAAATTGATGAATCTCCACAAAACGTGCCAACAGGGTATAGAGCTCCATAACCATCTCCTGAATCCGAGGGATACACATGCAAATGCAATGCTTCAATTATGTTTACAAGACGATACATCTAACACACAGAGTCAGTACACGTCAGATGCACAGTCAGCAAACACAAAATGGAAAACAGTCATTATATTGTGCTCACATTCACAGAAGTGTGAGGAAGTTACTCTTGTTTCCCCATCAAATCTGTATCTGTAAATAACAATCCAGACAAACCAGTGGATGGTGAGCAAGTGACTCTTGTTTGTGTAAAAAATCATGTACACAAAACAGTAGATGGTGCATGTGATATAATCTGTGGTCTATATTGTGATGAAACATTTACAGAAACGAAAGGACAGCCAGAGCCCTAGTTGAAGCAGCCCATCCTATTCCAGTCACTTCTTACGACCGTATCTGGAACGCGATAATCTATTGTGCTTCAGAATTTCAGTCAGGTCAACGATCGAAAATGGTAATTTAATCGTTATTTCATTATGATAGGCCACAAGGACAAATGTCTTCAAAAACTCTGCGGCGTATAGTTCATAGTGAATAACAGTGACTTCACGTACCTGCAAGAAGGCGGACATAGTCAGTATCACATTGTGGGTAGTTGCCCTCTATATCAGAAGTCAGGACGTCAAGTCTCATGTTTGGTGGTTGCATCATGACGAACATGCTAATAACGCATGTCATGTCGCTGAACCAAAATAGATACACATTCAGACTTCAAGTACACACCACACAATAGTGATTGAGTTGGGTTTAATGCCACTTTGAATACTATTTCAGTTATATCACGGCGTCAGTAGGAATTGAAGTGTGAAATAAAATAAAAGTTTCAGCAAGTTTCACAATATATGATCATACAAAACGAATTATATCCTTCTTCTAATGTTCGAAAAACAATTACTTTAATCCCCTTTCTTCCTATTGGGAAATTCAGCCGTCTGACTCTCATTTCGCAAAAACCGGCATGGCAAACACACTTAAGCAATACCATATAAAGTATCCTATCCTGCTTCCACTTACCTGCCATATGAATCGGGGTATCCAGGTGACATGATATATATAGGTGTGTTATATATTGTATGTGTCCCACTGCAGTCGCCTTCTGTAACAACAAGGGCATTTCCATAAAACAACAATAGTCTCTTCCTTGATAGTAATAGAATTCTCAAAGTGTTACAAATTAATAGATGCCAATATTGTATCGCATAAGGCATATGCACTTCTAAGCAGCCGCAATATCATAGGGCATATCAGAATCCGGTGATTCTGGGTTTGAATTTCACATTTGCATTCACATCAGGGCTTCTATTGTCTACATCCACGACATGTATCACTTTGAGCTTAATCTCATTTCAAGCTGAAATTGTGTTTCCAACGGTTGTATCCATGGATGATCCATCATCCTCTGGGATCAAAATACGAATCTGATATACATTACTTGGATCACTTTGAATATCAAAGTGTTTATATGAAAGGTATATACATGAATTGGGTTCCGATTTTGTGTGTTTCTTTCTTCTGGCAGTCTACATAACTAAGGATAACCTCATACTCTCATTCGATATTTATCACAGGTAAATGCATCATTATTGACGTTGACATTTCTGTAATATTATGTTCCTTTCGATTTTGTGTTTAATGCTTTAAAACATTGTCAGTGAACTAACTCAATTATATTGCTAAGATTACAACATTACTAAGTTGTTACAGTAAACACTATATGATGGACAAATATAGGGCATGTAGATGTAACATCGAGTTCAACATACCTGGTCTTGAAGAATATTGCATCCGAAAACCTTTGCTGGTAATATTCTCATCCGTTGTAAACTCTAGCAACAGTGAATTCGTTGAACTGTAGAAATTAGGCATCTGGGTTGAACAGAATTCACCCAGAAATTGGTCGGCTGAAGTATAACATGGGTGGTTATGCTTATTCAGCATAAGGTTATTTTTATTATATACATGGCGAATACAAACTATCACACACATATTCTGTGACAGCCACATTTTGACACTTTGACTGCTTAGTGTATTTGATGGATACAAATTGTACACACAGCCTTGATATTTTTACTGGTACTTGCACCTGTACGTTATCCTTTGAATACAAGGGAATGTACCTGTGTGTCATACATGTCAATGTAAACGGATTCAGTGGTGAAGAGTCTTATCATATGATTAAAAGCGACAAAATCATGTGTTCAGTTAACAGTTACAGCTAAAGGGGGCATGTCTCGTCCATGTGGGTCGATTATTTTGCAGTCCAGCTATACGAATTCTTTCTTTCTGTAACAGTGAGACATTGACTCTTTGTAATTAAGGAAATATCGTATTGCTCGAGGGACTTAAATAAAAAAAATGTGAATAGCTGACAAGTAAAGCAGTAAATAAATGACTCGAATCATACTTGCGGATACGATGACCGAGCTCTTGTTACAGACAATGGATTAAATGACTGAAATTTTCACTTAGACAATGTACAAAACGCCAAAATATTTCATTCATTTTACAATGAGCACCATAATAGACTCATTTATGCAAGGATCAGAAGCCATACATATGCATTGACTTTCGTTTTGCTTTAGTCCTATCATTTTCCGTAAATAGGTGATGAAAAAGAGTATATAATGTTTCGAATTTGTTATAATAACATAATAAATTTTAAAATAATTGTAAACATTTCTGAACATTTTCTCTTTTACATAATGACGACAACATGTATACCGGATCCAGTAATATGCCCCTGGAGGGTGACAGCGATGTATCAACAGGAATGATTAATGTCGCCTTCTAATCAATGGATAAATACAGAATCGACTGTCAATACTACTGACTATAAACTGCCATATCACGCCATGTGCGTGAGAGGAAATGAGACAATACACCAATATAAACAATTGTACTGACATTATACATATTTGTGATGTCATCGAGTGCACAACCGCTCCCCGAATCTTACAACTTGATCCCATGACATCAAACATGCTGTGCTCAAAGGTCCTACATTACCTTCCGTTGTGTTTCCGTCATAAACACGAACGACTTCATGCTTGCACGAAGCCGAGGAATCCCCAAAGTAGTAGACTACTATATCTGATATGACTTGAACTGTGTCGTTTTCGTTTTCTGCTGTTATTATACACGTGCACTTCAAATTACTGAAAAGAATGCAAAAGGTCTGATAGAATATCAATTATTTCCTTTTATTTCCTTCGTCATATCCAGAATTTAAAGCAATTATAATTATATAGGGACTTTGCTAACATGGTATAATTACTCTCGATGTCATCGTTTACCTTTTGTCATCAAAAAGGTTCAAAAGAAAAATTACATGCCCTTTGCAAAACGAAAAGAACTTTGGGTAAAATATATGCACGTATCCTAAAAGGAAAAGGGTATTGTGGCATACAAAAGAAAGAAAATCGATCAAAAATATTAACTGCCGTGAATGGAACTTTCTTTAAAATATCTGAAGGTACGGTAATGCTCAAGTGTCCATTTGAAGAGCGTTTATGACACATGCAAATGAGAATTTTCATACCATGGGTTTCATGGGATACATAATCAGCAGCGTGTGGCTTCCCACTGAATATTGAGTAACACTTTTCTAATGCTAGGTCGAATATATTCAAGTGCATACGAATACAAATATAATAAATAAACACAGATGTAACGATATCGTAATTAAAGATTAATTTCAGATAACTACAAACTGTAAAAGGAATATATTTTTGACTTACTGAAATGAGGTGTAAGGAAACCCAGGGGAGGTAAGATTTGCCTTCTTTGATGTTGCTGTTAACATTCCACCGCATCCTGAAAAGACGGTTAAGTTGATGATGTGAAACAAAATGTGACACGGTGAACGAGCGAAATGGTCTATTTTTCTAAATCTGCAATATTATGTCGTTGCTATGTTTAAACTGCAAATACAAGGTGAGTTGGACTTCACGCCACTTTGAACAGTGTTTCAAATATTTCAATTCTGATTAATATCTGACGCAGTCTGTTAACAGTCCGTTTCTGCAGAAACAGACAAATGTTGTGCTGACAGACCAGGGATCATAATTAGGGCAAATCGGGTGTTCGAGTCCACGATAAGCTTGACACTAGCACGAATAAGGTCTCAACGCACAGAATCCCCACTGATTATTTGACTTACTCTCCGAGCCATACAGCTGCTTGTAGCTTTCACTGATGCTGCAATCGCCTGAGGCCTGCATCACTTTTAGCTTTCATCTCAGATCAGACTGGCACGCCCTAATGTAACTCAAATAATGTTCAAAGCGGCGTTAATCACAACTCACTCACTCGCTCATCTTCATACACGCCTACTCACTTTCAACGTCAATGACGTTCAGAACAAATCCTATTCCATTAGAGACAGCATTGGTGGTAAACTGTATGTACATAGTATCTCCACTGCTGAGGATACTGCCACGATGCACTTCATTGTTACATGATTGAAACAGTAATCCGCTTGAATTATCTGACCCTGGTCATGAAGGAGCATTCAATAAATTATATCAGAACAGTGACACAACGTCATTCATAAATACAAATACAAGACCTCAATCATATAACTCTCCAAAACGAGAAACGCACAAGTAGATTTTTAATAAATTTATTATATCAAATAAAGTCGATATATTTAACTTAATATCATAGATACAAATATGAATTGTTTTAGCTCGATAGTCACATGATGTCGTTGTACAAAGGCAGTACGAATTCACGTACACAATGTGGGGCAAAACGCTCATTTCGACGATAAACACGTTGTCTTCCATCTCGCTGGTGAAGAAGAAATCGTGATTCATCGCTAAATCACACTTGTCTCTAGTTTCTCAAATTCCAAGGCTGTAAGGCATGGCACCAACGCAAGCGTCGCTGTCGATGAATCTGTTGCAAAACGGGGACGATAACTGGTCTTCTAGGTCGGATTCCAGCCTCGCGAAGATGGTTCCTGACAGTCTAGTCCGATATCCTCCTCAAATCAGGGATGCGTCTTGCAGTCTCCGTAGCTGTGGCATTGCGATGATGTAGGTGGAACAGTCGAATGTAGCGATCCTGTGAAGGCGTGGTAACTCTTGGTCGGCCGGTTCCCGGACGGTCTGAAGTGGAATTGAACTGTGTGTATCGGTCCCAAAGGCGGCACATGGTGCTGTGGTGGACGTTGAAGTGGCGTGCAACAGAAGACTGCGATTCCCCTCCTTGGATACGTCCTATGGCGATGTTCCGATGGGCAGCGCTGAGTCTCGGCATTTTCGAACTTGAAAAATGTTGACAATTGAATGACAAATTATTTGCTTATGCTAGCCACCACCACGAGTTACGAATGCCATAACTTGGACGTGCATTTTCTTTACTGTTTTCCTACATGACATTTTTGAACAAGTTTGAAAATAATGCCGTTTAAGACATTGCAAATCGACAATGGTTGCGTTTTGACGCACCGTTTGTCGAATATGAGGCCACGAACATTTTTCAATAACATATATCCAAGTTATGTACCGGATGTTTTGTGTTGTCAGCTTTATGAACAACATACTACCTGTGCGTTTCTTTTTTTTTAAGAGTGTATATCCGCCGCCACCTCGGGCTGGCAAAACAGTTCTAAGCCAAACAGTCTAAAAGTTCTGAGCCTAACAATCAAAACCAACAATTGTGAAACTGTTTTTAATTTTAATTTTCAACATAATCTCCCTGCTTTTGAATACACTTCTCATATCGTTAGTGAGGCTTTTCAATCCCAGTCAGGAAGAGGTTTTATGAAGCCACCCTGAAAAACCCATTTACAGCAGCTTTGAGGTCATACTTGTAATACCGCTTCCCACGCAGATGTTCTTTCAGTTTAGGAAAAAGGTGAAAATCACTTGGTGCCAGGTCTGGCGAGTATGGAGGGTGAGGAAGCTCCTCGAACCAACATTGTCGCACAGCAGCCTTTGCAAGTCGAGAAGTGTGTAAAGAGGCATTGTCATGAAGTAGTAGAACTCCAGCATTCAGCATTCCTCGCCGCTTTTCTTTGATAAAATCTCTCAGGCGATGAAGCAAATCAGCATAGTAGGCACCGATAATCGTCTTTTCACCCTTTCACACCCTTTGCATCTCAGAATAGTTTTCTCAACTGATCTTGAAAACTTGAATTTCTTTCGTGCCGGAGAAGTGGAATAGTGCCATTCCATGGACAGACGGTTTGACTCGGGATCATAGTGGTAGACCCATGTTTCATCACCCGTTACTAATCCCTTTTTGAATGTGACAAAATCCTCTAAACTTTCTCTGGCATTGTCAGTTCTTTTTTTCCTTGTGTTTAGAATTGAGAAACTTTGACACCCGATGAGCAGATACCTTATTTATCTGTAAATGTTTATGAATAATAGTTTCAATGGATCAATGGCTAAGACATGTGTCTTCCTTAAGTTCAGCGATGGTAATACGTCTATCTGACAGTACAAGTTTTTCTATCTCCTTGATTAAATCTTCACTGATGGAAGTTGAGGGACGTCATCAAGGGTTGTTCTCACAGCCTTAAACATAGCTGCCAAACGTTAAACAGTGGAATAGCTAGGGCACTTATCCCCACACACTTGTGAATCTGGTAATGAATTTCTTGGGGAGTACTTGTTTTTGTTGTTTCTTGCTCGTTCAATGTTCTTTTCCATGACTGTGTCCACTTGGACCCCTATCACGTTCAACAGGCTGTCACGAATATACAAACGACCTCAACAGACCAAAATACACTTGCAAAAAATACTCAAACAATGTCCTACATTGACTATTATTGCCCATAGATGAAAGTTAATCAGGCTTAGAACTTTTTGACCAGCCCTCGTGTATGCGGAATTGTACAAAATGATACAGTCTAATACCATATGTCAACCATGTGTACAGAATACACAATAAATATGAATACGATAAGTTTGATAAATGGTGATACCTTTTTAGAATATAATTCATGTTCTGTCTATCCTTCTTATGCTAATCTAAAATAGTGCGTATAACAATTTATGTCATTTCATAAGGGGCAGAGTAGTTTTTGCTAGTGTTGAAGTGTGGAAAAACCTACACACGTATACGTACAATACCCAGATCATAAACGTGTATAAAACCAAAAAGGTCATCATGGGATTCGCGGCTTAACATATGGTAATCAAGTCATCAAATCATGTTGTCAGAGTACATTTCGGGTTACTTTGACCTTAACATGTATAAAATATATCATATTATCACTTTTGTGAAGAGAAAAATGGACTAGACCTAGACGATAACACGATTATATCGTAAAGATTTCAGTATTAATCAATATGCATATTGTTATTCGTTCGTATCTACTTTCATCCTCCATTTAATAATAACTATTAGTTTTGTTCAATTTTATACCATCTTCGTCTAGGATTGTAAAGTAGGTTTGAACAAAATGAAATGTTACCGTAATGTTGAAAGGCATCACTAGACCATTAATTAGCCATTGTGCGATTTCTTTAAATGCCAGGGTACAAATTGTAATGATCATTATTGGTGTTCGTGTTGTGATACATGTACTTCTGCAAAACTGCTGAAAGAGAATGAAGTCTCCAATCCGGGAGATCGCACTGTAAACACATTTGTAAATATTCTGCTTACCATCATAGAAGGACAGACTGTCATGTTGGCAGTTAGTAGACTGTAATTTTGCAACAAATTTAACGCCTACAAGACGATCCGTTGACGATGCATTTATCCTCCATCCGCAGGATAGATTACTGAAATAACCATTTATAGGAAAAGTCATTATGAGGCTTCACAACAAATAAGGTCCATAAAATTTTGCTTAACATCAATACAATATTGACAATATATGTGTATGGAAACAAAGAAGCTGTGTTCATATGTTAACATGAATTAGTCACCATACTATTTCTTACTCTTTTGTGTCCCATTGGTCAAAAGATAGGCCTGAAGTGTATTTTTGCAAACAAAATTCAAATTTATTCAAACGTCAATTATAGTTTATTGCCTATCATATGTTCTTCTCTTTTCATAAGTTATGATAAAATTTCATCCTCTTTCGAGACGTATAACTGTGTAATACTTACCAGTATTCATAGAACTGAAATTTTCTAGACGCAAAAACATTAATTGCAGACAAATATTTAGGAGAAGTTTGACCTGATTGGCTTTCTAATGATTCTCATTCAGATGAAATCGAAACTAATTCAAATTTCATAATTTATAGTAATTGCCTTATAGCTGGAATATTGCTGTGTGCGGCGTTAAACAACAACAACAAAAAAGCATGTGATGTTTTCTCTTCACGGGTATAACGAAACGTCTAATCAATATATATTATGTAATTCCCCTTAAAACAGTACAGCAGTTTGAAAGCGAACTCCATTAAAGTGAATTAAATTTAATATGTAGTGTCAAATGTACACACTTGTAAAGACCTTACAACGTGCTCTTATAACGCCGATAACAGAAGAAAAGTGCGAGAAGCGTTTCTGGCCCGCTTAAAATAATATGTACAATACGCTGTTGATTATTTATAGTTACGTGTCAAACAACAGAGGGTACGCTGGGGATAATATTTTTTCCACATCATAGGAAAGTTGAATGTCCTTGTCGCATGCATCTGTAAAAAAATATATACTTTATACCTCAACAAGTATAAATCGAGTTGGTTGGGTTGTACGCTACCCCTCCCAAATGCCAGTTCTCCCTTCTAATGATTTACCAACCTAAATAGAGTAACAAACAACTCTCCACTAGACTGCATGACAAAAGGGATGATTCAACACTCTAATAGTCAACTTCCCCTTTGTGTCAAACAATATTCCAGGAGATCCAGTCTTTCGTCTGTACATTTCACAATTTTTGAGGTATAATCGAACGGGCCCACGACGTCATTTCTGGAGATTCCAATATGCGCTCGCAACTTGATGACGTCATAATTTGGTCGACGTTATTTTGGGGAGGGAAGTGTCAAGTAAGTTGTTCCCCACAGATGAAGCTTGAGTACGCAGATAAACACAGTGGACGCACCCAAAAGTGGGAGAGATATGACACTCGGTCTTTTAAGAGATACAGATAATCGACGTGAGGATTGTTAGTATAAGCGTGAAATATCACACTTAAAGCATATGTTCATAAAATGGACTTGTCCGAAATTGCCGAGGTCCGATTCTTTTCAGGAAGTCATCATTCAGGTAACTATTTCTAAAGCTTGCACATCTCATTAACATCCTTAAAAAGGCTGTACACAATGTTAATATCTCAAATAAGAAGTAAACGAAGAAGCTGCGCCCCTCATGGTTTGTTCTAACTGCAGTGTTTTATTGTACGATAACAACTCACACTAGTCGTTTATTTCTCAAGGAAAGTCCACAATGAAGCATGTCGTGTGTCTTTACTACATCGATGAAACAGTCAAGCAGGAAAACGGAGAAGAGAGATCAAGACTTATAGTTGGAATAAATCTGGAATGGGAATCCACCACTGATCGGAACTCGGCCCATAACGCTAAGTCTGTTTGATGCGTATGATCCACCTTTCCTCTTAAAACGACAGTGCATGAATATGGTAGAGCTGATTAAAGGGGCGTAAATGCTGATGCGTTGGCAGCCCTAGTAAGGTTGATACATGCCATTTGACAGCAACATGTTTCTTACCACTGATGCGCGTAGTTTGTGATGTTAGTGAGTTTAGCAGACAATGTTAACACTAATGATATTGCGACAGCACCACAGCGCCAAAACCTAAGCTTGTTATCGTCAATATACCATTTATTATACCCCCCACTCTTCAGAAACCCATGCTTGCCGTGAAAAAGCGGCTTTGGTTGTCGAAAGAAGCGACTAATGGAATTGGGTGGTCAGGCTCGCTGACTTGGTTCATGCATGTCATCGTTTCCCAATCGATCGATCACTAGATTGTGTGGTCCACACTCGAGTATTTACAGACCACCGTCATAAAGGTGGAATATTGCTGATTGCGGCGTTAAACAAAAAACAAACATATTATACTCCCATCACCCCATAAATTATCCCAACAGGAAGATATTCAAGTATGTCAATCTCTCGACACATACCAGTGTGAACAATGTTATCATGTTCTATTGTGGACAATGTGTCCCTGGTCTCAACCGACAAGCTACGTATATTTACCTGCAGATGTGGCTGATACAGGAAGGAGGATACCCAAGAGCACAACTGCAACTGTGTACAGTGCCATTGTATGTATTTGTATCCGTTATGGCCAGTGTACGGCAGCATGACGGCTCCTCATTATGTAGGTGGCGTTACTGATGAGACGAAATTTTAAACGTCATGAACTAGCAATCGAGGTGTGTTATCAGCTGAGTTTTTCTTTAATGTGTATGTCCAATGGGTTCATGTACTGAAAGCAGATAAAGGAATGATAACCAGATGTGATAGCATACAGGCAGCAACTTGTAATTTCCATCCGGACTATTTTTTTCAATTGATAAATAAATAAATTATATATTATGTAGTAACCAATTTGCACATAATCTCACCAATCAAGCCCTGATGAAAGATAATTGAGATTTCTCAACCTCGTCGTGACCATATAGCAGTAGTCTGCCTCGCGACATGATATGACCTGATAGACAACAGAAACATATCACATGTGTGTCTGTGTGTGGGGGTGGGATAGGTGTTAACTATGCCTGTGTACGTGCGTGGGTGTGTATATGTATTTGGGTAAGTTAAGTTAGTACAGAAAATTGTCCGTTATCGTTCTCATACTTATCATTGTCATAATTCAACATATCACTGGTTTAACTACTTCAAAACAATATGAAACAGTAACAGCTAGAAGATAGAAAAAGGCAAGGACGTAGGATAATAAAAGGGATGAGTGCAATTTAATGTGCGCAGCCCAACTCGCTGATTGACTCACTGTACATTTGTGCCTGAATTTTCTGTGAATGTCTTCTTTTTTTGACATCCTTAGGCCTTCTTACAGTAAATGGCTTATGCAAAAGCGACAAAGCCATTTCCATAATCATAAGAAATATCTGCTTTGAGCAGAATCCGTTATACGATTCCAACAACGCCATAAGCATGTGTTAATGAATCAAATGGTGCTGATGTCAGGTGCGCAGTGGCTTACAGACAACGTTTCGGTAACCGAGAATACACGAGCACACACTATAGGGCTATTCAAGGCGTTTCATGTATAGACTGTCACGGTCAGTCGAGGTATGGGTGTGCGTTTCTTCGTGTTAACGTTGTTAACTAGAGGACGAGTCGTAACGTGTGTATGCAATTTCGTAACCACAACGAGTTCCTTCGCCTAGAATTTTCGTAATTTTCGTATGCCCCAAAATAATAAACTTTGGAGCCCTATTTTATATTTCTAATAATTCATTTAAAAGGCAAAATCATAAAAATACCAATCGAGTAGTGAACCAGTCCACTAGCGTGTAGGGCTGACAGAACAAAACAGACTCTGAGAATAAGATATCATATTTTATTTTTTATTATCATTCAATCATTGCATTCGCATTCATAAAATCAACCATTCATTCACAACAACAAAATCAAGTATTAAACATGATTTATTGACATGTAATGTTTGGTGCGGGATTTAGGTCAAGTTATATTAGTCGTTTTTAATTTATGTACATCTAAATCTAAATCAATATTTTATTAATAAGAATCAAACGTATTCTGAAATGCTGACTTCAAACTTAAAAGGTTTCTAAATGATCAGAAACAACGTTTCTGTATTTATTCGTGCCAGGAAATTTCTTGGGGAAAAAAACAGACCATTCAGCTTCGGGTGTTCAAATAAGAGCTGATCACAGCTTGTTCGAGTTCAATATACACACCCATGTGTGTCTGCTGAAAGTGCAGATAGTGCTAAATGGAGTACTCCCGCACCATACACGTATCTCAATAGCATTCTAACCTACAGCGGAATTGTTCATACGAATTCCAAGGTGGTTGAGCATGAGAGACCTGTGACGAAATATTACAGTTGACACTATTTATACAGGAAAGACTACCCAAAGCCTTTTTGATCATGTAAGACATATTATTGAAATATTTTCTAATTATATAAACTTGCGGTTCACCATTTGAACCTGTATTATGATGGCTGTATCTCCGAGAAGGAAATCGCCTGAATATACGATGGAGGATCGTCTTTAACAGACTCATTATAAGACGGTGGGGGGACAGAAGCGATGTGATTGAGAACAGGTGTGGGGGAAGTGTTGTCATTAGATGTATGGGAACTTTCATTTATCCTGTTGGGATGTGTTAGATTTCGGTCGTTGCTATCTGCCTTCCTTCTTCTACAGAACACACAGCAAAGAACTATGATTATCACCACCGTAATGCCCCCAATGACTCCCCCCATAACGGGTCGATCGTACTGGAAGGGGGTATCTGTAATGAAGAGGAAAATAATCAGAAACATCAGCCGCATATGAATAAAACTTACGTTACATCATATTGATGCACTGACAGTCAAAAAGTAGTCATCGAGCGATCATTCCAACAGCTGCTTAATACCCTAAACGATCATGGGCGTATGTTTACCAGCTTCACTTCCCAACGTCAACATGTAGCTACACGCGCTGAAAGAGAATTCCATTGTGACAGGTTAATTGCTTCATGGCTTCTTTAAATAAAGGAAAGCAACTTGAAATCAATTATCGTTTTAGATTAAGACGGTATGAGAATCGAAATCGTTAAGAACCTAAAAACAAACATCTTGTGAAATCGGGTTGTTTTTTTGTCGATTGCAAGGTAAACAGCTAAGCTTTTGAATCAGCGGTAGAAACTAACATTTTAGTCCACTGGTCCTTATAATGGTAACATATAGCAAAACCCTTAAAAATGGCAAATATCTACTAGTCTTTATGATACCTTAACTACTGCGCAGATTGGCAAGGACTATAGGACTAGTGCCAATTTCTAACCCTGCTGAATGTATTTTAATTTTCTAGATTTGTAGTGGTATTCTAATCAGTGCAGTTGGTTAGAGGCATGGACTTGGTGACATCATCAGGCACTTACCCACAGGTAGTTTTTTGGCAGAAAAATACAATTTGAATCCAGACCGGGTCTGTTTTCTGTCTGATTTGAATGTCACGAACATACTCGGGCCTGAGCTCTGCTTGTTGGGTCCAGTGATACTACACCAGCGGCCGAGAGAAGGAGCTGAAGAATCTGTACCTTAACAAGTGTCAACATTCCGTTTTCGAAAAATCTGATAAGAATATACTCAATATACTCAAAATACTCAATATTCTAAGATGTATACATATGAACAATTGCATAATCTGTATCAATCTGTATCAGTAACTAAATAATGCTGTCAGGGTGATATTTAAATTGCAAACCGTAAAGTTTGTTCGCTTTTTCCCGACATAAATGCCTTTAATATCAGATCTATTTCTCCGACACGATGCCTCTCTGCGTGAAGATATTCGGGTGCTTCAATGGAGGATCGCGTCAGGTGAACATTGTCATCAGGCAATGAGCGTTCAGGCTTTTAAATTATCGGTACGAGTAAGCGACGCATTCAGAAAAATCATATGATTTCTCTGTCTGGAAAATGATTATAATCGGGGCGTTCCGAATGCAAAAGATAAAGCTCCGTTTTTATAATCTTATACTCATGACATCCGGGCAAGGATGTCCAGTATCCATGCTTGTCGTAAGTGGCGACTAACAGGATTAGGTGGTCAGGTTCGCTAACTTGGTTCATGTATGTCATCGTATCTCAATGACAGTGGTCTGTAAATATTCAAGTTTGGACCAGACAATCCAGTGATTGACATCATGAGCATCGATCCACGCAGTTGGGATACGATGACATGCATCAACCAACCTGACCACTCAATCCCGTTAGTCGCCTCTTACGACAAGCATTGTCGCCTTTTACGGCAAGAATTGGTTGCTGAAGACCTATTCTACCCCGGCTCCTCACTGCACGAAACAGGTGAGGTGCTGAGGTAAAGAGGAGTTTAACTTCGCTTTCAGGAATAATCGTACCATGACGCAGAGAGGCATCGTCCAACATTAATTAGACTGTGACAGCATAAAACGCTTAATTGGCTGATTGGCTGTTGAGATACATAAACTATAAAGTGTTTATGTAAAATCGAATCAGCTGAAAGTTTTGATATATTTAAGATTGTTAAATGAAGTTTTCCATCATCTTTTGCTAGTTTTGTGTTGAATCATTCAGCAGATGTTTCAAACGTACCATCATAAAGTTGCACATAGTCGAAGAAACAATCCTTTTCATATTCAAGGTGGAAATCCATCGTTTCAAGATCAATCACGTAACCTTTAGCATTGGTGCGGATAGTCCATCCACGGTTCTCATTACTGACAAGGAAAAAGCTCAAAGATAACTAGCACTCAATAAATTGTAATGAGTAAACCACAGTAGCATGTGTAAACGGCGAAACGCTGAAGTGATGCATAAAACAAGACAAATGTCATTTTACTATAGTTTTTAGGATGCACTACTTTACGTAACCTAGTATGGCGTACGTGCACCTACATGTGTTAAAGTACTTGTATACATTGCCTGTGCTAATATGTTTGAAAACAACCAGTATTAACTACTTACTTTGGATAATCCATGGGATAATTTGTTGATTGTATAATAACTGCTTCATTATACTCGATTTGTATGTTATTGCCTTGTGCTGAAATAGAAGAAATTCGTACATATAATAATCGCAATCATAATCATAATTATGTGATAATAAGTGGATCAGTTTGCATTCGATTTTCTTCCTCAGCTCCCTAGGGAGTATACAACCCTAGCTGCCTGTGAGGCGCAAAAAGATTTACAGCAACATTACCATTTCATTCTACCGGGTACCCATTCACTGCTTGAAGAACAGAGGCACATTTCGAACAAAGTCACTTGCCTTAGGAGACCCAACATGTACTACACGTGCATCATGACCTTCCTATGGCGTCTCGTTGTAAATATACTCTGATAAATCAAACATCAACATCATATACTGACAGGAACCTGACTGGAAGAGTTCAGAGAGTGTGTCAAAATGCATGATACATGTACATGTATTTACGGATGTGCACAAACGCAATAATTGCTACCGACAGTTACCTCTCATTTGTAACATTCCATATACCGGTCTTCGCATGTATGCATGTAGATGACCGATGTATACCGATTTGACACTTTGTTATTTCAGAATATAACGCACTCAAATGCGAGTTTTTACGGTTTTATATTTAAATACGTTATTAATGTATTATCCTCCCTTCTGCACTATCTCCGCGTACATTTATTTAAACGTTTGGCGTATAAATGAAAGTACAACATGACAGGGTCTTCGAGATCGGTAATGCGGTAATATAAAATATAACGTATGAGCTTAGTATACGCTAGGCTACGCATTGTACAAGAAAGTGAGCACATTACCTTTCTTCGGAAATTGAAAACGGCCAGCTGTGTATTTCAGATTAAACCCATTACGAGTGACAACGCGGTCGGTGTGGAACCATATTGTCATGTAGCTGCTGCTGCTGACGATGCTCCTCGTCACAGGTTGGCAGATGTTATCCAGCTGGGCGGCGTGAGTAGAACTGCCTGAAGTGCAAGTTAGGTCGTTTAGAATTTCATCTTTTCATACGACGTGACATCTGAATAAATACTGCGAAACTGTCATCTGTGATCCATTGATTAGACTACATTGACACATCTTAGAGATACTTCGTGTTATTAAAACATTAATAAAAAACTGCGTTTTGTTTCAAAATAGCTCAGGTTAGCTAAATTTTCCATATGCGAATATGCGGTATATTTGCGGCTTTATAAATCTGTAGTTATTATATCTCATAAATGAGTCCTACTTCCTTGAGTGAGGCGATGTATTCAGAGATGGGTCCTGTCAGAAAAAATAGATGTACAGATGATCAAGTTAGTTAGATGATCCACATTTCTGAGATTGCATCAGATATCTTACAGCTATGTGCAGCTTCTCAGTTACAATAGAGCCCACAGCATAAAATACATAATCATTGTAAACAGTCTGCTTTTCACCGTCATGAAGCTAACGTTATATCTTGGATGAATAGGCTTCATGCACTTCACCGGGCGCACTTTCCCGATTTTCTCCGCGAAAATTGACAAACCTTGAAAGTTTTTTTCTCAGATTACATTGAAAGAGATAGCTAAACCATACCCTAACTCACAACTGACCCTAAGTTGTGTAAAGGGGTGCCCAACCCAAATGATCTTAAAGGGGTGCTTGATCGGAAAGGAGATACAAGCACTAAGGATAGATAACCCTAATATGACCGGCAGCCTGCATTTCCCTCTTTAGGGTTACTGGCCAGAGACCATGCAGTTATCGCCATTTTTCGCGTTATTTCTTAAATGAATGAATGAGTGAATATGGTTTTACGCCGCGTTTAGCACTATTCCAGCAATATCACGGCGGGGTACACCAGGAATGGACTTCACACATTGTACCCATGTCGGGAATCGAACCCGGGTCTTCGGCGTGACGAGCGAACGCTTTAACCACTAGGCTACCAGACCACCCCCGTTATTTCTTAAATATTCTGTGTATAAAGTTGACTGTAGCAAAAACTTTGATTTTTGTGAAACTATGAGTTAATTCGTTTGTTTCTTTCCGTGGAAAAGGTTTGAGTAGATAACGCGAAGAGAGGGAATCAAAACAGTGAAAACAGAACTTTCCCGTTGACTAACTGTACCAGTTATCGCCATTGATTAAACAGCGCGTGTCACGTGATCACGCGCACCGCTTCCGTTATTCGAATTACATTTTCCATTGTCTCTGGTATCGCAGTTACTTAATATATTAAATTTGATTCAAACATTTTTTTTTATCAAATTGTCGTCTGCCAACTGACGTGAACCAATATTTCAAAGAATTTTTATTGGTGCAGGCTTGTCCATAACACTATGTACGATAGATCTCGAGCTATATCCCCCCCCCCCGGATTTTTTATAGATACAATTTTCCTTGTGAAAGTTAACTTGAATAAAAAAATGAATAATCTTCAATGGAAATCTTTGTTTCTTGGTTTACTTCCCCATATAAGTACGAGACCAACCACTGCTACAGCTTGCTTGTCTGCTTGTCCAAAAGAGATGTTTAAAGAGATCTTAACTGTGTTTCTCACTACACCTGTTGGTAGTGTAGCCTGTGAGGGGTCATTCTCAACCCTTCGGCGCCTCAAACTGTGGACAAGATCATCAATGACTGATGAACGACTGAGCGGCCTTGCCATGTTGCACACTTACAGAGGCACAGATTACATTCCAAGCCCAAAAGCAGTTTATGACAGAAAAAAGGACTGGCGCATACTGAAACAATGTTAGATTATAATAACACAAGATCACTCCTCTAGAAGAATTTGATATTATTAAGCTGTTTCATTTAATTGTGTTCAATGTTTGCCAAAGATGTTTGAAATATGTTTCAAATAGAATTTCCCTTTTTTAGTCATTTGTGTCGTTTTTTAAAAAGTAAATTGCACTTCAGTTCACTTCATCGGACAGTTTTATTTGAATCATGAAAATACAAGTTGGGGACAAGTGATGCTTGTACAACGACACGTGCGTTTGTTATGGTTGGAGTGCCGACCAATCAGAGCCCTCGACGCCAGTGAGCGCGGTGATTTTGTTTACACGTGTGACCGGCAGCCGTGGTTGAAATCACCCGACACAATCAGTAAATTGCAGGAAATGAAGGTTTGTGGCATGCAGTGCGTATGTGGAGGGAGGTAATGTGAACATTACATGCATACATTTCCATTCACTTTTAACGATACAGCAGATCAGATTTCAACTTCGGCCAAGATGGCGAGTGACAACACATCCGAAGTTGAAATCTGATCTGCTGTATCGACTCTTAGCAGAGACCATCTATTATATGGTCTCTGCTCTTAGGCAATAATTATTAGTTTAAATCACAATTACTAAATTATTTGAATAATCAAGGTGAGAGGTGTATGGGTGGTCTAAAATGGTCTCGTATGTAACAGTTTTAATCAATATTAATACCACCTTCCATAAATAGTCATTACAGTGCTATTTCACATTCACAGGATTTTCTTTGAGTAGTTTCATTAGTACCAAGATCCCCTATTTGCTATAGATCTGCAAAATGAACACAATTTATTTCTCACATCATTATTCAATTGACAAGTTAAACATTGTTCATTTTTATTGAATTTTTTTGTTGTTGATCCCATAAGGCACTACCTTCAACAATGTTAACATATGTGCACATAGACTCTATACCATGTACACATTCCAGTCTCCATTCACAAACGAATAATTGATTTTGAATATTGCGAGCAAAGATTTTTAACAAGTTGATAGATTGTTAGAAAGAAATAACTCTTTTATCGATAAAGTGTCTTAAATCATAATATTGGATTTTATTTCAAATTTAACCATATACATGGCATCTATCTTTAAATTTCATATGTATTATTATCTATATAATTATGATACATCTCTTTTCAACCAGATTTTTGTGTAACAGGAATAACCTTGTGAAAATAATAACATGCAACGGTTGCATCCTGAGGTAGCAAGGTTTTAAAAAATGTTCGTCACCACTCGCCTCTTTTTGTAACCCCCAAGAAGACTGAATCTCTACATATTTCTGAGGCAAGGAAGTTAACTTACTATAAAAGTCCAGATTCCGCCCGTGCTGACCTAGGCTGGAATAGTGAAGTTATATTTCGGCTGGACAAACGAGTCTATGCATAGTCCAATCAAAATCTCAAACAAAATCAACATCCAGTTCGTAAACTGCCGTGCAGATTTTGGACAATTGCAGGATTTGCAATGCAACTGTACCGTTAACTTAGTGTCAAGAGATATTTTCCAAATCTGTACATGTTTTTTGTACATGTGATCACATGATATGACTCATTTTATTACAATATAGATCTTGATTGTCGATCAGATTGTCTCCACTGGGTGCCGCCATTTTGTTGGTAGTTAATGCAAGTGGTATCAGAGGTGGCATCTGATTTGTCAATAGGAGAGACATAGTCATGATAGAAGGGAAATAGCATTTTAATAGCCACTGGTGACGCTATTATTGAGCACAAAAATTCCAGCCTAGTTTGGCAAGGGTGGAAACTGGACTTTTGCAGTCAGTTAACTCCCTTGCCTCAGGAAGATGGTCTCCATATCGATCAATGTTATGTGCCATAATATGACAAACTAATCATAATGTGCATATCTTTTCAGACCATTGACAGAGGCATTTAGAAGTTGGTGGCTTATGGAACTTTTTAATTAATTGAAGGCTATCAGAAAAACAACAATATCGGGCAACGAACTAGACATCCGGTTCGTAAACAACATGGATTTTAACGTGCAAAGCATGTGTACCGCCAGCTGGGCCAAGACAGATATTTTGCAAATCTTTTCATGTTTTTTATCAAGGTGCTCACGTGATTTCATGCACTTCGAGAGGTAGGGCCTGTTTTATTACAATAAAGATCTTGATTATGGATCAGGTGATCTTGACTGGGCGCCGCCATTTTGTTTGAAGCAAATTTTCCATGTGATATGGGGGGTGGAATCTAATTGCTCAGTAGGAGGGACATAGAAGGGTTGGTTGGTTTGTTATATAATGCCGCACTCAGCTATTTGACAGCAGTCTGAAAGTAATCAAGTCTAGACCAGACAATCCAGTGATTGATATTATGAGTATTGATCTAAGCAATTGGGATACGATGACATGCATCAACCAAATCAGCAAGCCTGACCACCTGATCCTGATCCTGTTGGTCAAGCATAGTCGCCTCTCATAGCAAGCATGTAATCATGGTCTGGTAGCCTAGTGTTATTTTGGAGGCATTGTGGATTTCTAGGAATAGAAATTGGCATTTGTGCTATTTTGTATCAGAGGGAATATGACAATACAATAACATTAAGGATGCAATTTATGTATTGTTCAGATTTGTATTTGACATTTCCAGGACCCGAAAGGCTACAAGATTTTGTCAACCGGTCAAAAGTGGATACTGCAATTCAAGGTATCACATTTATTACTACCATGATAGTTATCAATTAAATTGTTTGTATATGATTCCGCATACAATATTATGTTTTGATTATATTGACCACTCCTTATACTCTTTGCTTTGAAATGTTCATAAAAACTGTTGTGTCAAAATGATCCCATCAGTAACAGTGACAACACAATTTGCAACTGCATTCCAAACTAATTTGAAACATATACTTGAGACTGAGAGCATTTGCCCGTTCAAACAAGCATGTTATTGTCATTCAAGAACTTTAGATGAGGTTATGTTACATGGTTTGTTCGTTAAATAATAATTTTGGATGTAATTATTGCATCACTAATAAGCCTCATCTCAACGTTGCTGTTTACATGGTTTATGCAGGTGAGGTTGATGCTTGTTGCATATATTCATTAAATTTGTGGAAGCAGTATGACACAGACTGTTTTTAACACTGTCTAAACACTGTAAACAAGTCTATAGTTATATTGGCTACTGGATAGTTATGATATTCATTTTATTTGTTGTATTTCAGTGGCACTATTTTCAGTGGAGGAACTTTATTCT